CAATCAATCAATCAATCAATCAATCAATCAATCAATCTATGTATTCTGCGTCTGAAAATTCTTTTATTCTTAGCAGCCAAAACCTCAAAAAATGGCTGCTGTGACACATTCAGTCAGAAAATGTACTTTTTCTTCTTGCAGTAGGCGCATCACAAACGTATGACACACCTGTTCACATCTGTCACCTCTTGATGTGAACATGTTCATCTGGGGCTTATAATGCAAAAAGAGAACCATTGATTTTAGTGTGCAATACTTTTAATGCAGTTCAAACATGCATGAGTTTTAGATTATTCCCACAGAAATCCTTCTGTTTCAGAAAATAGTGAAGAACAGAAAATATTCCTTAGGCCCCCTTCAGATCTCTGCTTTCTCTTGAAGTTTGGGTTCTAGGAATGTTCCACTCTTCACTTTGTCATCTGCAGATATTAAACTATTACTGTTATTTCTTCTGGCTTTTCAGACACAGAACCTTTAAACAACAGTTAATTTATTAGCTATTGCTTAGTACTATTAAATCTTCTTGATATCTTTTAATAACTTGATACCAAAATGTCTTCTTGGTGCAACTTGTAGCACAGAATGAGAACCAAAGCCTTCAGGCATTTAGGTGTCCCTCAGGGTTCTAATCTGGTTCCATGGTTGGCTCCTATCTATCAGCATTTATCTTTTCACTATCCAGAACCTTTCTGCTGCTCCTGCAAAGAGGCAGCAGACACACTCCAGGCTCTCTGCTTCCCATGTGAGAGCAAAGACTCTGCCTGACATCAGACATGGGAAGCGAAAGGCAGCAGCAGCGTGAAGGGTAAAAGGTCGAAACTTGACCACCCCAGGCAGATAAAGCAGCCTTTTCATGTGTGATCGGACCACCGCCTGAAGACAAATCCCTCAGTTCGCTGCCTTTGAACTTCACGGCAAATGGAGCAAGTCCCTCCCCGCACGGCTGCTAACAAGCGCCGCGAGACTGTGAACTCACCTTGTTATATTTTGCTCAAAATCTTCACAATTTTTTCTGTTTTTTTTTTTTATATCATCCTCTTTCATTTGAAGCTGAATGAAATGAAACCTGCATGTTAGAAACACATGCTCTTTCTGTAGGGACACTAATGAGGTGATCCAGATAGATTCCATTAACCTTAGTCGAACCCTATGAGCCAGTCAAAAGGCAGAAGATGAACAGCAGAAGGATCAGGGGGAAAATGTGTATCTCCTGCTGCCATGTGTGGATGTTCCTTTCTCCTATTCCCCTTCAAAGTTTTCCGCCATAAAGCAATAATGGCGCTCATAACACCTTCTTCCTGCCTCCCTCCACTCTTTACCAGCAGTGCATAATTCATAAACACCTTATCTAAGCCAAGCCAATCGCCTTCTCTCTAAATGAGTGCGCCCACAGCCGCACAAAAGGAATGTCAGTCTCATGACAGACAGTTTGGAGTTCTTTGTTTCAGGAGAATGGATGTAAATAGAGGGCGTTCTTCTTCTGCAGCTCCCCCAGGTAGAGCGCAGAGCAAACAACGCAAAGGAGCCGCTGTTGTGTCTGTGCTCGCCTCTTTCCTGGGGCTTCGGCTGTGTCGCGCCGCCGCCGGGCTTCTCGTATGTGTCTCTGTGTGTGTACAAACAGTCTGTATGCATATATAGATCTCTATATTTAAATCTGAACTACAAATAGTAGCAACAGGGCCTAAAACGGTCCCTGGCTCTGCTGCCGTTTGTTGGTCTCCGCTGTTTGATTCATTGCGGAGTGAACTGAGTTTCTCTTAAACACTTTAGGCTTTTTTTGCTGCCTTTTCAAAAATGGAAATTTATGATGTGCTCTGTTTTCTATCCAGCGCTGTGGTGCATCTCCAAACACCCTTATTTCATGGTTGCTTAGATGGTTAGATAGTTTCTCTCCGCTGGTTTTCCTGTGGAATTAGGTCAGTGTTCATTTTGGACAATAAGATATAATGCTGTTCCATTGGTCAGCTCATTTGTAAATAGCCAGAGGAAGGCCTGGAAATGTGCCCACTCATATGTTTCTGCAGACTTCTCATTTCTCCCTCCTGAGATGCTAAAAGATTTTTTATTTTTTTTGGCAGCCTCCTCCTAACTTCCATGCATGCAGGATTTGCTGCCCTCCTGAAGCAGAATAAACCTTCTACTGCAGAGATGTTCTCGTAAAACGGGAACCGTGCAGCATCCACGCACTCCTTTGTTGTGGCTCTGATCGGGGAATCACATTTGGCGTGTCAGGCGACCCAGGCTGGGCAGCCGGTAGCCGTGGGCGACCAGCAGATCAGTGATGTGGCGGTGATGCCTCTAATGAAGCTGACACAGCACAGCCTCCCTCCTCGCAGACCCCTGAGGGCCTTGTGCTCTGCATGAGGCACCACAACATCCCCACCATACCCAATCTACCCTCCAATTCAGCCAAATCCTCCTCCGATCTGATGTGTTGCTGCGTCATTTATTATACGTTTGGGTTAAGGCAAATTGAGTGCTAGTAGTAGACAAATTGGGTCACAGTAAACAAACACAGCCTCTTTCTGGCCTTTCTGGCCCAGAGTCGCTCTCTTAGTCTGATGAATGTGTTTTTGTTGTTTTCCAGGAGCTGCCCAGCTGAGGTGAAGGGGAGGGCAGAAGATCCCAGTGGAGCGTTCATGACCTGTCCGCAGAATCGGGACCATGATCTGAGGACGGTGCAGGGCGCATAGAACCCCGTTTTCCTCTCCTCCTTGTCCCTATTTTTTTGTTATTATTTTGTTTTTTCCAGTCTGAGCAAAAAGCCTCTCTGCTCAGGTGCTTCAGACAGTCAGGGTGCACAGAAAGGTCAAACTGAAAACAAGTAAACATCGAAAGAGGAGGGAAACACATCCACAGCCATCTGTGACCTCACACACATCCTCCCTACTCCTCCCAGCGCAACAGCAGAACCATGGGGAGGAAAAAGATCCAGATTCAAAGGATCACCGATGAACGCAACAGACAGGTCAGTACTGGCCGACCGAGGCGATTGAATCAGAATATAAACAGAATCCGACCCAAACTGAAGCTGTCA